GGCCCGTCTTCACGATGGAATATGTCACGGCATTTCGCGTCTTTCTCGGACCTACCGCTAGATGTCGCATGACCGCGACCGTATCAAGCCCTACTTGAGCATGGTCTTTTCTGTCCGGGAGACGCCGCGTCGAAGGCTGTATTGTCGACGTTTCGAACATCTTGTCGTCTTCCTCAGGGCTCGTATCATACCAAGGCGATATTTTTGACGTAGTTAAGAACGCGGGATATTGACGCGATAATTTTCGGATTCAGACAATATTTGACGAGTGAGTAATATTTTTTTCGTTGTGTAATGAGTAACTAAATGTACAAACAGATGATATATATGTGTGTGTAGGACGTGGATGCCATGGCTGTGGACGGAATTCTATGGAAATGGAGACTGGACGTTCAAGACTGCGGTGAATCTACGAAAGGAAAATAACAGTATGGGGTACATTTTTGAATTTGCCATTGTAGGAAGAAAAAGTGTTGTATCAAAGTAAGAATTCTAAATTAATAATTAATAAATTGGCCATGCATGCAAAAGGGAGGGATTTATAAAGAGTAATTATATAGTGATAATAAGACAATTTATGATAAAAAAGTATGTTTATAAAAATATTGTTGTTTTCAAATATAATATTTGGATGAATATGTATGTTTTATAACCCAATAAAGATGGAAATGTTGATAAACCGAAGTAAGTATTATGATTTCTGAGTAGCAACAAATATAGTCACAATCCTACGTAAGGAGGAAGTAAATAAATTACTTTACGTAAATGTTTCGTTACCGAACACCTGTATAAACTGTCTATCGGATTCACATACATAAATTTTTATCATGACGGGGCGATCTTGGTACAACCTTCGAGCAATAGTCGGGTGAAATTTGAAATACTAATTTAAGGAGAATACGTAAACATAAAGGTACCAGGAACGGTCCCCAGTAAGATCGTGAAATGAATTATGTAAAATGATACCAAACAATAATGCTTGTTGCGGAGTGCAATCACCATATTTCCCAAACCTAGTTCAGTTTTTAATTGTACGAATACTATTACCGGCAATTGTCTAAGTGCAGAACTAATACAAACACTCGTGCGCGCACTGGAAATAAAAGCAAGAACCATGTGTGCGGGAAGAGAACATACCCGACACAGATTACGCATTAAAGTGTGTAAGGAATGTTTAAATATAGACTTATTTAACTTAGTTGTATTTAATTGTAAGTTTTGACCTTAATAAAACTTTTGACCTTAATAAAACATTTTGTAATATTTGTTAGCAATTTATTTCTTTTTTGACGTTTCGACCCTACTTCGGGTATTTAAAAAAAATGTATTTTCCAGGTTTGTTGCAACCACATTATAAACAAACAACATTTTAATAAAAAATGGTCACGTGGCGAACATCATCTGACCAACTTGTATGACATAACTTGTTTTTAAAAATTACTTCCTGTTTCATCAGAGTTTACATATGACAATTACAATGAAATAAAGAAAATAACAGATGTAAATATATTCCTCAGCTTAGTTTTAATTCATTTACATTAATTTCTTACGTTTTATTACGGTGTATACACCGCCTGACAGAAAAAGTGGTTCAATATCATCCCAATCTCATTTTGGTACATATGCATACCATTGATGAGTGTGTGAATGATCATATTCACGTGTATCTGTAATGTGTAGAACACCCATCAGAGTGCATTCGTGATGTCACCGCCCTGTTGTTACAAGGTTGTTATCACTCAACTGCTTTGACTCAGACAGTAAAGAACGACGTTTACCTACAGTGAGAAGCACCCAGGATGCCACGCAGTCGCGTTCGACACCCTACCGACCACTTGACTGCATCTGACAAGAGGTCGCATTGTGGGACTTCATGAGGCTGGTTGGTTGTGCAATTACCAGGCACATGGCCATTCAGATGTCACAGTGGCCGATGTGAGGATCAGTGGATACATGAGGGCTCTAATGCACGTCGTGCAAACTAGGGTCGACCAAGAAATACATCCCCCATGGAGAATTGTCGTATGATGCGCCAAGCAGTGCGAAATCCCACGACGTCGGCGTCCGCCATCCGCTAACATGTACTAACGACACTAAAATATCCTGTGAGTGCCCGCACAGTGGCTCGACGACACGCATCCGACAGATTGGGGTCTTACCGACCTCTGTGTCGGTTGCCATTGACACCAGAGCACTGACGTCGGCGTTTGGATTGGCGCCGTGCCCGGGAGGCATGGACACCGAACGAATGGCGTCGCCTGATGTTCAGTGCTGAGTCCAAATTCGCCATTACTTCCGATGACCATCGTGTTCGAGTGTGGCGGCGTGAAGGGCAGAGGGCACATCCTGCCCAAAATGTGTGGGGGCACACAGGCGTAACCCCGGGCATCATGGTGTGGGGAGCCATCGGATGTAAGTTCAAATCACCTCTAACATTGCTTCGACAGACTTAGACGGCACAGCAATACGCCATAGATATTCTGCGTCCGCAAGACCTGCCCCTTACAACACGCTGGAACAGTATTCCAACAAGGTAATGCACGCCACAACAAGGTAATTCACGTGTGTCTATGGTATGCATAGAGCATGTTGAGGTCCTCCCGTGACCAGCAAGATCGCCGAACCTCTCCATCATTGAACATGTGGGGGATGACATTAGAAGGGAACACCCTCGCAGTTTCAACCTACAGGATCTGGAGGAACAGCCGCAACAACTGTGAGCGAACTTGCCTCAAGTGAGGATCCAGTCTGTTTGACTCCATTCCGAACCGCATAACGGCATGCATTGAAACTAGACGAATTAAAACCGAGTTAAATAAAAGTCTATGTTGAAACGTCACTTACATCATATTATGCGTCCGTGTAGGGTGCGTGACAGATATGATCACCTCGCGCGCACAGGTTCCTGGCTTTGATTTCCAGTGGGCTCTTGATTTTTATACGACTTCTGCATTGAGACAATTGCCGAATATAATTAATACGAAACAAAAAAAAAGGAACTGTTTCGAAAATATGGTTGGCATTTTGCAACAAATACTATTGTGTGGACACGTTTTACTGGTCGTTTCATGATTACACGTTTATCTGATCGTTTCATGATCTTAGTTGTTATTGCTGCAGTTAGTGGTGATTATAACGATATAAAATTATTTTATTTCAATAAATTCACTACACTGGTATATATATATATATATATATATATATATATATATATATATATATATATATATATATATATATATATATATTGCAAAAATGAAAGGTCTGTAACTTTAGGAATGTATTATCTCTGAAATCGATATTCTGACTTCCTTGAACAAGATTTGTTGGCGGCGGATGCAACAGCAACAACACGTGTACAATAACTATCCCTCAAGATTTTGCAGACACATTCGTACTCACGACGCTCGCGAAATAACTTCGGGGAAGAGCATTGCACCCGTTGTAGGAGGGAAGAACAACAACTGGAACTTTCTTCCAGAACGGCCTACTTTACACAAATAGATTTATTATTTCTGCAGGTAGGTATAGAACCTGGTGGCAGAACACTACATTTTACATATTACAACTAAGAATAGTAATGGACTGTAATTTTAAAGCATTTTAAGGCAATAATAACAATATAACAATAAAAACTAACAGCATTACCTATACACTTTATGACTGCCCTGCACGGAATTTTTAACTAATAAATACACTGCACTTCACTTCACTTCTCTTCACTACACTTGCGTTTCACTTCGCTACACTACACTTGCACTTGACTTCTCTATTGTACTACACTTCACAACACTTCACGACACTCCAATTCAACTACTACTTTAAATATAATTGTATATTTAACAAACCAATGTATTTAATAGTGATTATCACAATACTAATATTTAAAAAATAACAATTATAATAAAATTATAACTAAAATAATAACTATTTTAATAAGCCTAACTTATACCTATGTCCTTAGTAAATCTACTTTTGAAACTTTGTACACCTAGAGGAAAGGGTTCCATGGCTGTCGCAGGTAACTTATTCCAGTCCATTATTGTTCTATTTGAAATGAAACTGTACTCATCAAATGCAGTCTTTGAATCAACAAACCTAACATCAAATGAAAATAAATTCGCCAAACATCATAAATTATGCATTCACTACTTCAATACCATCAAGAATTGACGGAGCTTGTCTTCACTCAATATCACTAAATTAATTTCATAAAATTTAAATGCAGCTAGTTTCAGTCACAGACCAAAATTGGCATTTCCCTCGAAACCCATGGAGCCCTCCGCTGTACAGCGATGTCCCGCCTCCCTCGCTCTGTGAGGCCACTTCCCTGCAAAGTAAGCCGGTGGCTATATCTACGAGGGTTGCGGTGCGAAAGCGCCCGCAGCCCAATTTTCAGGCATAGAGACGCGATGCCAGTTTTATACGTAAAGTATACAGTAACAGTACAAATACAGTAAAAGCGTTTAAGAGCGTGACATCGGTGCACTGCCTGGGAGCGCACGAGACGCCAGAGAGGGGGCTCGGAGGGCGAATTTTGATTTCAAAATGATTTGATACACAAAGATAGAGCAGTAATATCTTGAATATTACTCACATTAAATGGAAAATGAACATTCTCAACATATTAGACAATTTATACCGATTATCTGAGAGTTGATCTGACGTCACTATGGTGATGTTTGCTCCCGATTGGATGAAACTGTCAATAACTGATTTCTAACAGGGACCGAGTTGGAAAAATCGCAGTATAACACAATGCAATCAATTAAACGTCTTGAATTCATGACTTTCAATGTGACTGTTGGCGACAATGTCGTAAAGAACTTGCGGAGAAGTAAACTTGGATTTATTTAACTATGCACTTGACGTAAATCTAGTGTTCACGGTTTAATCCAATAGAGAGCTTAAACGTCCCCATAGTGACGTCACTGTAGCAACATTTAAGCTCGTTGTTGGATGAATCAGAAACAACTGATTTACGTCAAGTGCACGACTAAATAAATCATACTATACAGAACTACGAAAACCACGTGAAAGTGTAGACGCGACCAAGAGGAGTCGCGAAGATTCATTGAATGCGTGATTAGAGGAATGCGTGATAGTGAATGAGGAAAGGAAATTCTAAAGACGTTTTGACACGTCCGTTATAATATTCTCCTCTCTTGGACACGTTCGTTATTGGGCGTTTTTGTTATTTCACCGTTGTTTCTCGTACCTCATATTTCCATTTTCTTGTATTTATTGTTGCTTTACGAGTTTATTTCTCCAATGATTTACATTTAATTATTTTAAACGCATAAAAAGTTAGTATTCACATAGCAATTTTTCGGGTTGTACTGATGTATTCACAGTTTAACACTTTACAAATGACTACGAATCTTCGAGAGTACTCTGAGGTGAAGCAGCGAGTTGAACACGGGATAAAAATTTTGCGGAGTTATTCTTGGTTGTTGGATTCATTTGTACTAGTAAGTTTTACCCTATTTTACCAATGATTCATTTTATAATTTACGTTAAATCTTACTTCTGTCAAGGAAAAGTTCCTACTTTGTACGACCATTACATAACTTCTAATATGTTTTATTATCTTTGGACGAATGAGAAAAAATAAATGATTATTTAAGTTTGGAAAATCGTTCTGAAGTGGATAATCTACACTTTTGATAAATCATAATTATTTGAGAATAGTGTCAACAATTTATCACTCATTTGTGAACAGGGTAGGAAAATAATGAATTAATGTTTACTTTTTGTTTGTCATTCAATTCTTATTACACTGTTTTATTTGTGGCCTTTACTTTATCGACAGACTGGTTTATATATTAGCACTTGTGAAACATAAAATTGTATGACATACTGTTTATTCAGTTACAATTGTTCTGTTAATCCATTACTTCTAATTATCAGAATGCGTTCATGTAATTATCAGAAGAATTGTGACTAAATAAACAGTATATTGTACGATGTTCAGTTTTAAATGTGTTAATATATAAACCTGTCTGTCAATATATGACAGAACCTTGGATGAAAAAAACATTGAGAATGAAAGGAATTGTGTGAAGGGATTGTGCTAAATAATCATGATGAAAAAGGGTCTGCAAATATCATAGTGCTACACTATCAGTGCACAAGAAAAGTGATTTATCTGAAAAATTGTATTATTCCAGGAGATTGTTTTATTCTGAACAGGAACATTTTCTTTTGCGTCTGTAAACAAAATGTACTGTATACTTGAAGTTCACTCTGGTACTTGTTTGGCTTGTGAGATTTTTAACATTTTTACTAATGAAAATAGATTTTGTAAAAATATTTCTTCTTGTAACTAAAAAAGAGGGATGTTTTATGTGTAACTTTTCTTGTGCTCCAGCAAAGTATGGTTCAAGTAATACTTCAGTCTGATCTCTGTATATTGAACCTCTTTATATTGAAATTCTCAATAAATTGAGTTATTTTTCAGTCCCTTGAAAATTCTATTTAAAAAATTTCTTTATATTGAAAATTGAATATAATGAACTATTACTTTTCTGACAATTATTTTTTGAAATAAAAATGTACAGTACTTGCTATAGATTGTGTCTTAAAAATAGTCGTGTTTAATTTGGAAGGAGAGAATTTGTGCGGAAAATATAACTTCCTGGATGTTGTATAATTGAATTAATGTTTATATAACACCAACTCATTTTCTCCTTCTAGTTTCCAGCTTTCTCATGGGGGTAACTCACTCCTCTTTTTCCTCTCTCAGTGATATTATTAATCGTGGAAATGCATAGACTAAAGCGATCTGAAGATCAATCGCATGTCCCTTCTACCTTACAACCCTATCCAATGATAGTTGGTGAGCTCAGCGCAGATTCAGATTGTGTTAAGAATGCACTTCAAAAGAATATTTGCAATGTCAATATGAAATTTTTTTAATGTTACAGAAAAAGTGAAATTGATTGAAGAGGTGGTCATTGGTATGGAGGGGGGAGGGGAAAAAAATTCCTGAAACTGTAGGAGGAGACCGGAAAATGTTGATATATTGAATATTATAGATATTGCATAATCATTTGAAATTAGGAAATTATTTGAATCCTTGATTACAGACAAACTGAAACTTTTAATTTTTCCGCACCTTGCTAAAAGAAAATTTAGTTTTGTTTACAAGAGAAGAAAAACTAAGTTAGATTAGCAACTTGCTTACTATACTAGGTACATACTGAATGCCATGGACAAGAAATTGACCATAGAGAGCATCTACACTGACTTAAGCAAAGCATTTGGCTTGGTTAATCATTCATTATTGATTCGCAAACTCCAAGACTTTGGTATTTCAGGTTCTCTTCTGAACTGGTTCCAAGGATATTTACTTGATTGAGTCCAATTTGTTAAAATTGGAGATGACATATCTGTTTCTAAATATAGTTTCTTCAGGCGTCCCTCAAGTATCCCACCTTGGGCCATTATTGATTTTGATTTTTGATGACGACATTTATCAGTTATTTTTCAAAAGCACATTTTTTTCTTTTTGCATATGATTGTAAGTTTTTTATGGACAATTTTAATCAAAACGCTTATTGTTCCAGGATTTTTACATTGAAAAACACTGGGAAAAATTGCCTGTGAAGTGGAGACATTTATTGGATACTGTGGAACTGGATGAGCTAGGTTGTTTATTGGATTACAGGAATGCTAATCCTAGGTATGTTAATATTTTCTGAAATAAGGGGAAAAAAACATGAAAAAATTATTGATATAGCATGGGAAGTAATTAAAAATCATTTTGTTCTGTTTAGTTTAAAGAGGGTCTGGCCCCTATCATTTCTAGCTCTCAGATCTGCAGCACATATGTTATCTGTGTCAAGGAAACAAGCTGAGTCTTTGAATGCATTATTCCACAAATCAAATGCACATTTTGAACCGACAGATAATTTGCATCAAAGTTCAAGTAATCAGATTAAATTAGATAATATTTCTGCTGGAAGTATGGAGGATCAAATTTTGGGAAATGAATTTATTATTAATCCAAAATATTCACATATTTTTATGAAACATGTGAAACCAAAGAAGCGACATGAAGTTGCTTTAATGGCAAAGGTTAGAAAAGTCATCTTTGAACCATTGAATTTTCTTACAATTTTTTGTAATTAATTTTTTTTGTTTTGTTTTGTTTTGGTAGTAGATTACTGCTGAAACTGCCAAATCAACAGGTTGTTCATATGTTGTTGATGTAGGCTCAGGACTTGGTCATTTAGCACGCATGTTAGCCTATGGATATGATCTACAAGTTTGTTGTCTTGAAGCCCAGCATACTCTTGCACAACAAGCAAGGTGAGAAGGCTATTTGAAAATGATTATGTCTGTACTTGTATTGAAAGGTATTTAAAATTATGGGTAACAGCCAAGGGCTGGTAGGAGTATATATCAGTGGGTCTCAAAGAAGGGTTCTGTAGCATGTAATTTTATATGGGTGCCCTATGATATAACATGGGTGTCCAGTACAAGTAATTTAATAAGGATGAATAAGTGTGAATAAAAAAGAAACATAATACTTTAAATACTTAAGTGAAGTTATTTATTAACATTAAGGCTCTGAAGAGAATACAGTTTTATTACACACTGACCAAGAAACCTTTTTTTATGAATGTGGTTGACATGGTTGATAGTAATTGAAGGTCAGTCTGTAAATACTCAGACTGTATTTGGCTCTTAATTTAAGGACAGAAAATTATATAACTTCTTTATATCAATCTTACATGTGATACATAATAACAACAACTGTTCAGAAATTATTTCCATCTTAAGGCATAATGTCAGAAACAAATATTTAATATGATATTTTAAACAACGGACAGATGGTCAGATTTTAACAGAAGACATACATAAGCTAATGTATGAGTCACAATGGAACACATCTTGATTAAAACTTTAGATCTCTATATGATATCATATGACTGTATGAAAGGATGAAGATAGTTTGAGAGGGTCATTACAAAATCAAGTAAGACAGAAAAACAAATACCATAATTTTGGGAAAAAGTACTTAATAATTCATCATATAAATCAGTAAATTTACTAGATTCTTCCTGAATATTTAAAGAAGTAGAAGTTTTAATATATAGGGTTTCTAATATTAATCTATGATACAAGAAATTTTCGTGGTCTAAAATTTTTATTTCCTGGAAATTCACATTATGGGAAGTTGTAATTCTATTTCGTGTTAGAGAATTTTGTCTACATGCCAGGTCTTTTATGTTTCTTTTGTGTTCAAGTCGTCTTGTGCTCAACTTGCATTTAGCTTGACCGATTTATGATCTATTACAATCTGTACAATTTGGTTGATAAACAATGTTATTAATATCTAATTTTCCTCTACAATTTTTCAAGTTTATAACTATATGTCTCTTATTTATCACTCTATTTACTAGTTTAAATTTGATTTGGGTCAAAAAAAATGTTTTAAGAATATTATTTATTTGGGATATTTAAGTAAACATCAAATTATTCATAAATTCATCATCTCGACATTATGGATAGTATTATTGCATCGTTTCACATATTTAATTAATTTTATTCTTTCAGCTATAATTTTTTCTACAAGTTTTAAAGAGTAGTCATTGAATTTCAGTATCTCTAAAACTCTACATAAATTGTATGTATAAAACTTGTGAGAAGACACTTTTATTGCGCTATCAACTAGATTTGAAACAACACTCATTTTGATAACAAAAGAGTGTTTAGATACATAATTCAACATAATACCAGAAAAAATTAGGGATGGAGATCTGGCAGCCCTAAGAAACTGTCATACGAGGTTTGGAGCTAAGTCATGACAATTATTTTTTTCTAAACAAAATGTTATCGGATCAGTCAAATTTATTTGTCACATAAAAGAAATGCTGTACTAATGTGTTTTCACAACAACATGGTTAAATGAGTGTTTCTATTAGCCCAGAGAGCAATGTGGAATCAGTTGTCTCACTGCTGCTGTACAAGATTAATGTAACCAGTTTCAAGCAGCGCTCATACCCAAAGCCATTCTCCATGGAAGAAATGCCTGAGAATGTCGCAAGGAGTTAGTGGAAGCTCTTGGCAATAATGCCCTTCCACACCAGATAGTCGCAAGATGAATAGGTGAATTTCTGTGGGAACACATAGCTATCAGTGATATGTGATGCACATGACGATCTGAGAGTGTGCGATCAAATGTGGCATGTGTGTTAATAGAGCATCTGGCTAATCGGTCCTTTAGAAAGGGTATGTAATGCTTTGGGAATGTTGTGAACGTGTAAATGCTAAACTGCTTCAGAACATGAAACCATTTCCGATACCCTAATAAATACAAGGAACCCAATTTTGGTGTGTCGTTATATGTCCATGCACTTAGTTCATACCTTGTCCTTTCATACGTATATTTCACATTTTCTGCCTGCCCTTGAAATCTCACTAAAAAAGTAGTCCTTATGACGTCCGCCACAACCAAAGGAATAATCTGCGGTATGGCAGATAACAAATAACAACAACCCCAATTTGAGGCTTGCCAGAGGTGCCTGAATATCTAAATACACCTCTGGCCACAACCCGTGTAACCTTACTGTGTACGAGAAGGACAGTTGTTAAGCAATATTAGGGTCTCGAAGTTTTAGTTCAAATGGTTAATTGTTATTAAATAATTATTTTTATTTTCAAGCATAAAACATTGGCATAATATGTTTTTAAACCATAGTAAAAATAGTCATGCTGTAAATTATCACCTTTCCATTATCGTTTTATGGGTTTGTTCTCTGTCAGAACTGTCTCAAGTTGCTGTCTCTTCTGAAAATAATAGTTGTTATATCTCCACCTGATAAACTTTTCAAAAATCATCAGTTAAAAGTTCCATCGAGCACTGGAGTGTATTGATTTAATTTGATAAATTTTGTTCATTTCTTGGACTTGAGTTTTGAAATGTTTGTTATTGAAGCAGGGAAAAATATGTTATCATTTCGTGATTTGTGCTTCACTAATGTTGCTTTTTTAATTGTAGAAAATTGGACTTAGAATTGGAAGTAACTATGACTAAATATATATCGAATGATCAAAGTTTGGATTTTTGTAGACCAGTTCATGTGAGCAATACATTGAATTCTTCAGTAGATGAAAATTATTTTGTTCAGGTGAGATTTCTGTTTTTTAATATTTCTAAAAATTAATCAGACATGATATGGGGTAGAATTTTATTGACATGAAGATAGATAATCAAAAGACAATTTACTTTTGATATTTATGAATCTAGTATGTAATGCATCAAATGATGTACAAAGTTTCTGGAAAAGTCAGGGGGATTTGACACAAGGACATTACTTCACCAAATCAAGATTACGTATGTGTTTCCTTTTGTAAATAATCTTTGGATTTGAATATTATTTAAGTTTGTTTCAAATATTTTTCAAGAAAGCAATGTTCCAATTCTTTTTTACATTATTATTTGTGTATCAGCCATTTCTGACCATGTTACATGATTAACTATGGGGATCAGTTTTTCAGCTGTATCCCTTAGTATGACAAGGTTGTTACGCCTTGAATTGTGAATTATGAGGTGACAGGATGATGACAGGTGAAGGGTCAATCACAAATACAACCATGTTTACGCTGGACTTGAACCTGCAGCCTCCTCGGCGCAGGTGATGGTTGCCTCAATCATCTCTGCCATGGGGCCAGCTATATTATTATTACTGTTCTTCTTCTTCTTATTATTGTTGTTATTGTTATTATTATTATTATTATTTATTATTATGATTATTATAATTATTTTTTTTATTTGAATTAGTTGTTATTACAATACTTGTTCTTTATAATTGTGACATCACTTTGAATCCAAAATATGTAATAAGTTCTCTATCAGTTAAGTAATAGTAAAATATGTAATTACAATATGATTTCAATAAAAGTTAATAGTAATTCACTAGACAGAATTTCAGTTAATAGTTCACAACTGCACTCTTTTATTTAATCCACAACAAAATAAAATGTCTTCTTTACTCTCGGTAGTTGTGAACAATTTGTCTATTTTTTATTTTTTCCTTAAATTTTTTAGTTTATTTCTAGCCTCAGTAAATGAACATTAACCTTTTTTCCAATTCATTGTGATACGTCTGCATAAAAATGAGAATGAAATTTAATACAGATCGGTGGTAATTTGGCATGGTCATTCTGTTCACAATAGCTTAGCTCACAACAGCAGTTTCACTGGGAGGTGTTTGACTATTCATCCTATAGTCTGCATCTTGACCCCTGGGATTTCCGTTTTTAATACGCTTCACGAAATTCCTGTCTGGGAAGCATTGCATATATCATGGGCTTCTTTGACTCAGCAATATAAATGTAGCCCACAGGACACAAAATGCTCAATTCTGGTGGTGATTATATCAGAAAATAATGTAATTTGTGCTTGTATGTGTTACAGTATTAAACCTTTTCCATGAACCATTTCTTTTTGTTGATGACTTAGGGAAACTCGCTCATATGTTTCAAATAATTTCAAAAAGCTTAATGGCAGAAATTTAATTACTTACAAATTCAAGCCCTTATCATGACGAAATTATGAAGTGAATACTGTAAATTCCTGTAAAATGGTGTAAAAAAATGAACAGAGATCAATATGGATTTACATAGGCAGTTCTGAAAGAAGAAAATCACACCTCTATGTCCTGACTTTTGAAAATGATTTCCCCCTTGAAAATCTTTTTTCCTTATTTCTTCATCTTGTAAAATATAATAAAAATACAGCAAAATTGGAGAGGGACACCTTGTGGTATTTCTGTTTTCTCATCTCTGAATGTATTCTAATTGAATGAATGCTTAATGTATTCTTGTTTAAGAATGTGTAAAATTGTGTTGAAATTATATTTTTAAAGGTTTTGAAGACAGCTTTTGGTATGGAAAACACAGATATCAATTTTGGTATTGTTGGCTTACATCCATGTGGGGACCTTGGACCTCTTTTACTACACCTGTTCATTAAATGCCCAAATGCTAGATTTATTAACATTGTGGGATGCTGCTACATGAAACTTAGTACTTCAGAACAAAAGTATGTATTTGTTTTGCATTTTACGAAAAATAAAGACACACTCAATTATTAATTAACATTTTGAAAATTGTTTCAGCAATGTTGTCAATTTCCAAGGATATCCTTTGAGTAACTTTATATCTGAACAGCCTTGTTCTCTAAGTTATGAAGCTCGAGAAATAGCATGTCATGCCATAGAAAACTATTGTGAACGTTTGTGCAGTGGAAATGTTTCTCATTTGAAAGTATGAATGTTTACCTCGAAGGATAATAATTAATTTACTAAATGAAATTAGTTCTTAATTGTTTTGTGTGAATTGTAGGTTCACTGCTACCGTGCTACTTTGGAACGCTTGTTGGTGAAATTTTGGCCAAATTTACGGCATTCAGGAATTAGGAGTATCCGGCACTCGAATGAACTTCCATTTGATAAGTATGTTCTTTATTTAATTTTTTATATTTATTCTATATTAATTTACATAACTTGATCTAGAATTATTGGATTGGGTACTCAAACCTGTGAACAATACATGTTTTAATTTTGAATAGATATTGCCATGCTGCAACTGAAAGGTTAGGAGTTGTTTTACCTGAAGAAGAGATAAATAGCAAAGAAACAAGAGATGATTTATCTCAGTGGAAAAGAGTTGTTATTTTCTATTCTTTACGACTTCTGCTGGCACCTCTTGTGGAAACAGTTTTATTGTTCGATAGACTTTTTTATTTACTGGAGTTGGGTAAGTTAATAATTGAACAACTTTCATAAAATTTGTTTCTGTTTGTTGTATTACTCTGTTTGCTAGTACTTTATGTTTTTTAAAAAAAAGTACATTTCATTACAATAAAAATTTAGATAAATGAGTAAATAATATTTGAATTTCAAAACCTGCTTTTTCAACTCGAAAGAGCATTATCGAAACTACACTGTTCCTGTCTGATTTTGTTTTGCATCAAAGTTGAATATATCTTATTCATACTTGTTAGAAATATAATTTCAGGCTTTCAATGTTCTCTTGTACAATAATCATTGTATACAAAGCTTTCCCAAATATAACATCAAAATTGTTTAAATTATTAATTCTAAATCCACCTTCAGTAATTTTCAAGTACTACACTGTGATAAAAGTTTCACTATTTCTGAAACGCAAAAACCTGTTCTCAGAAAATGCTTATTAGTGTGTCATTCTGAATTAACATTAATTATTCAGTTTCTAGAGATCATTTTCAATCCAGATTATAAAAACCTATTAGCAATTTATGTTCTGTTTTGAATATGTTTTTTCTAATTTTAATTAAAGAAAAATATTCAATGAAAATGATTGTTTAGTTTTTAAATGAAGTTATTTTATTTTTTTTAAACTATACCATATATTGTACAAGTACATAAACTAAAAGACAATGAATTAGCAGCAATGTTTGTATTTTGTATTATTTTATTCTATGTTTTGGAGTTACAAAATTATAGGTATTTCATTTGCATATGTTTTTAAGCACACATTTGTTCTTTGGTAAAATGATGGCTATAATGTACACCTTTATTTTTGCCTGGAGCAAGTCAGAACAGATTATTCTCTCTGTGATTAATGCCTTATGTTTAGTTTTATAACAGCATCATATGCAACTTAATGTAATTTCCATGATTTTATCATGAAAATACCCCAGCAAATTTCTCTACATATTGATTTGCTTTTTAGTTTTTTTGCCATTGATTTCTACCACAATAACAAGCTATTTCTGCAGGTGGCTAATAAGAAATGGTAGGAGATAAGTCATTTATCAAATTGCTGAATAGTATTTAGCTTTACAACTGCACACATAGTTGAAATACCCTAATGTTTGCCTGAGTTGGATTAGTAGATTTTCTTGGAAATGCATGTAGCAAGTCACATATTTAACCCTTTAAGTTATAATACATATACTGAAATCCACAAAGAACATGATTGCAATAGCAAGGTAATTTCCCATTTATCAATTTACAGGTCTCAATGGTACGCTGATTCCAGTGTTTGATCCTTGTTTATCTCCTCGTAATCACATTCTTATCGCAACAAAACAAATTAACAAATGACATATGTACATTGTAAGTATTGCTACTATGGAATTGTATAAAATGTATTTTTCAAATTTACCAGGAATAAAAAAATGTTAGTTTTGTACAGTTATCTTTTTGATATTTGTTTTGGAGGTATTTTTGTCCTGTTATAGTAAACCCTCATTTTTTAAATTTTATTTCTTCTAACGGGTTTGAGAAGTGGTTCAAAGCTGTATTTCAGTGTTGTTTTGAAGATGTAGGGAAGACTTCAAGTACATAGAATGTTTGAAGGATCATGAATTATATATAATTTATTAGCGAATAGTGTTAAGATGTGAAAATTCTTTCTAAGAATTAATGTTTTTTGCCACATTTCCTTATAGATAATTTAAGGGGCATTGATGAGCGTAAGGTTTAATTTCAAAAGATAGAATTTTCTTTGTTTCGAAGAAGCTACCATTGAGCCATGTTCCTGAACTAGGTTGATTAAGTTTTCATTGTCAAAATTTACAATGAATTTTCTGATTTGAAACTTTTATTTGCATCCAGTAAACGGATGAGTACATCCATTTTGCTGTTTTAGACACAAACTTATGATATGTGTATCTAGTAAGTCTTTATTAAAGAGATGCACATGGCAGTTAACGAAACCAAAACAACTTTGTTTTTATTAGAGTAAACTAAATATATAAATCAGAGAACATTACAAATATTAGATAGTTTCCAGAACTGCCATATGCAACACTTTGAATGTCATTACTGAATATATTAATCTGTTCTATTTTCTGCTGAAAAAGCAGATATAAAAATATGAATTGCTCTAATTTTTGCTTTAAATACTGATCACATAGGTTTGGAGACAATTTGTGACACAAGGAAAATGAAATGCTTCACGTAAGAAAATACAGCATTTTCTTGAATACCCTAGAAATGTAATTATGCAAATTGTGCACTTTGTTGTGATTCATTGGCACTTCCTGCACTGCCTTCATCATCACTCTCTTCTGTGCTGACCTTTTCAAAACCCTGGTGCCGATCCAAAAACTGTCCCAACTTGAACCCTTCTGCGGAAGGAATATGGAAATCCCACCGTGAAGGATGTCGTGAATGGTATCTTGAGAAACAACCTAACAGTTTCAAGAACACATGTTTAGTTTCAAAGGGAAGTACACACAGTAAAGGGTACATAATGGATTAAGGATTAAAATGATTCCAAACAAGATCACAAAAACAAACAAGCATAAGGTGTGCGCACAAAAAAGTTTATTCAAAAATAAAAAGTACATAAAAACAGTGCATAACTAAAACACTTTAAAAACTTGCAAAGAAAATACAACACGTTTTAAAATGGAAGGCAAACATCAAAATGTCCAATAAGCAAAATAAAATGTTCGAATGATATCAAAATCGGTATGTCTACAGAAAAGAAAAAAGAATTCTTACAAAAGTAAGTTTGTTTTCTATGCTGTTCATGCAGGAGTGGTGAACACGTGGTGCAATTATCTCTACACTCAGTCATAATACATATCGAGCTCTGAATACAGTTTGGACGAACCTCTGCGAATGCGAAGTATGATAACAGTTGCAGCTATTATTATGACTGTAATTACACTTGCAATAGCTGCTATAGTTGCAATAATAGAACCTCTGCTTGGTCCATTTTGAACTTTTACAGAAGGGACTGCAGCAGCTGTAGCCATGGGACTGACCTTTGGATCTATTTTAAATGAAAAACAAAACAACAAAAAATAACTGATTAGTAAATGAAAACCAACTTTATCAGCAAGTTCCTTAGCTTTTAGAATATGATATTGGAGATCACAAAGATTTCCTTTTATCAGAATAAGGTAATAACTCCTTGACCTACTTAAAATTTAAAACATTTTATTTTATGTATTAGAAGGTCAAAAGGTATGAATGCGTCCTAAGCTTTGCAGTTAGAAAAATAGGTTATTTGGTAACAATCTGATAAAACAATCCTTATGTCTGAGAACAAAGATTTAATAGTACAAGCTAAAAGGATCAATGCACTTAAATGTTTTTTTTAAATTCCAACAACTGGAGATTTTTGATTTTTGCTGCTGTCACAATTTACAATTAAACTTATCCAAATTTTAATTACGCATTTCCAAAAAAGCATTTCACAAGGTCTGAAATGGAAATACTTTACATGTCACAGACCTCAATGTAAGCACTATTGTTGAAAATAATGTAGGAATATTGGAAGTTTATTTTTTCAATTCCTGTTAACTGTGCTAATTTCAATACTCACTTTTTGTATATTGTGATATACTTGTAATATTCCCAGCGCTTGTAAGATTTTCAGTTTTAGATGGTCGAACTGGTACTGAAATGTTAAGATTGCCTAAAAAAATAAAACATAAGAGTCAGCCAAAAAATGACATCACTTGGAAAACAATAGGCAACACAAAATTACTGTTCATTAACTATTCAAGAATGATTACCTTGCACAAATTTCCATACTTTGAATGGTTGAAGTTCCACAACGTACACTTCACTTCCATCTTTTGTAACAGCAACATCATGTGGGTTCTGAAAACCTGCTCCATCACTATTAAAGTAAGCAACTAATTCCTCTGAGGCCAAACTTACAACAAATCCATCAACTTTTATTGATACATTTCCTAAACTAGGACCGTTTACAATGTAAAGGAGACCACCTAAAATAATAAAAATTGTCATGTACATCAATTTTTTCATTAATGTTATGCAAACAGATAATTTAAAAACAATCTCCTTGTACCAACCTTGCACTGGTGCATATGCAACACTGAAAATCCGTGGTCCCATTAAGTACGAATGTAGTTGTCTTATAAAAACACCTGTACTTGTGTTGAAACATTGCACACGCCCGTTTTCTCTGTCGGCTACAAAGAGAGTGCTGTTATCTTCATCAACAGCCAAAGCATGTGGCACGAGAAAGTTGTTAGGTGGTGGTTTCTCTTGAAACCTGGTTACTGCAACTAAACATTTTTGATTAGGAATAATGTTGAGAGGAACCATTTTTTTTCAGCCCTAGAATATGTAAAATGATTAAATTTCAAAACTGTAACCTTTGGCTGGTTAGTATTCCTGAGTCTCTGACACTAGAAAATCCAGCCACTAGCAGTGTGATCATAAGTCAATTTAGTGTATACCTCATTGAGACAGACTTGCTTAAAAGCCATTTGGTTGGTTGGTTTCAATAAAGATTTTCCAACAGATGGTGAGCAAATTTTACTCTTTGTTAGTGTTCCAGGATGTTTTTGAGGAAATAACACCTTCATAGTTCAAGTTATATTACCAAACTAAATGTCCCAAAACAATTTTAATTTTTTTCCTATGCAAAAGGTATCTTCCCCAAAGTTATTTAAAAAGATGCACTTGAAATCAGTAATTAACTATTTTATTTCTTTAAACTTAAGAAATCCCACGAGATCTATCTCAGAAGTACATTGAGAAAGCACTGCAGTTTGTGACAATGTAATCAAGATACATTATCGCATTTTGTTCTTCTTGCCAAAAGCAAATTTATGTTGAACATGAAATACTGTTTTTTGTTCTTTTTTAATACGAATTCTCTTGGATTGCTTCGCGTCCTGAATTCCAAGTCTCTTCTTTTTTATCATTATTTCCTAATCTATGTAAAAACTCTTTTCAGACTCACAAATAATGTATAAAATTATCTTTTAATATTATTTCACATATGCTTTCCACATATAAGGTTACCATCAAATATTTTCCAAAGGTTTTGAACTGGATGAAAAAGTGAGAATAAATTTTACTCATGGTTATTATTCTAGATTTTTGTACAGTTAAACTTACAATTCAAAGTACTTCTGCCCCATTCCATCAATTTTTTTCCAGTTCTGTCAAATTTGACAATTCTACTGTTACAGTAGCCATCTGATACAAAGAAATCACCATTTGACAAAACTGCCACATCTGTAGGTTTACAAAAATGATTATTATCACTTCCGGGTACAAATTGTTGTCCCAAAATCAGAGATGGTTTTGCACTTGTTCTATTTGCAGAAAATTTGAAAACTTGGTGAAGAGCTACATCAGTAACCCAAATATTGTTTTCAAAATCAATAGTCAGCCCATGAGGCAAGTAGAATCTGTAATATGAATATTCATAAAATAAATTCTATGATGATGACTTTGATATTTCATAAATGAAACCGATGATAACTCACAAGTTACTGCCCCACTCTTCTATTACAGCTCCTGTTGTTGCATGGAAAACAACAACAGGATTTTGTTGAATTGGTCCTAATTCCTTCTCATTGTATACGTTGCCATAGGTGAAAGTTTGTGCTGACCAAACTCGATCACCACGGTGAAAGACAACTACATTACGGTTCATATCAATGTCTACTGCTGCAACTTGCCCCAATTGTTTACTAGGGTCAGGCCAGTTTGGCACAAGCTTTAAATCTAATGAAAATACCAGAAAGAATGTTGTTAATTTTTAACTTAAATGTGGATATTGCTACAAGAGAATTAAAATTGCTTTAAAAAATCATTAACAAATGTATTTCTTCACATAATCTGATTGATGCAATAACATAACAATTCTAATTCAAAAAAATTGTGATGAATAACAGCAAAATGACTATCCAATATTGTAAATAAATCACTTACTGGCACTTGTTGATTTTGTTTGGTATTTTTTATGCTGATTACTTCTAGTTCCCATAAACCCTGGATTCATGGCTTCCCTACTCTCAACTGGTAAATTGTTCCTATCCAATGTTCTAGTGTGATGGTGTAGCTTAGCGTAGTCAGCATATTCTGAATATTCCGTTCCTGTGTTTCCATTTCTTCCTTGTGAGGGGTATGTTCCTTCAGAATGCCTTTTCTACACAATATTAAAAACAATTGATTAACTTGTTCAGAAGCATTCAGCATAACACTGAGTTGTTAACAGGTGGAAAGATAAGCTTACATTATTTGAAGTATTTGCAATATGAATAACTGTCAATAGTATTGCAAACAATATCACTGGATTAGGCTTCATCTCTTGGCACAGTCTTCATTCACTAGAAAATTATAATTATTATTTTAACATTTCATTGGTGAAGAGACATGGTATGCACAAATAGTAGTTTGTCGGTTGCGCGCCACCACCTCTCGTATTCACAATATTTTGTAACGCCGTCTATTCATTTTCTATGCTCCTGCGTTAAACGTTATGCGAGTTTACCTGGCATCTATAACTGCAACCTAACCAAATATGTTAGTGTAAGGAGGTAAACATGCGTTATTTCTTTGGTAAAGGTTAGTAAATGATCCTGAAGAAGTTGAACGCACGCACATGATCCTAGTTCAAGAAAATAAAGGCAGTCGTGAAAAACATATGGAAAGACACTGTGGACCACCTGACTTTGACAATTTCATTTTGATGTTTGACTTGTCAATGGTGCACGGCAGTCAAAGAGTAAGTATGTTAAACTAAACGCTTTACTCTTAGAAGATTCGCTAACAACATAAAGTACTTTAATTTAAATGATTTGGGTGAGTTGAGTTTAATTTCACATTATTTTAGTTCTTGAAGAGTACAATTGTTGTTTTACAAAACCTCATAATATTTTAATAAGCTAGGTAGAATAAGACCACGATTAAAATGAATGACATATAACTGATCTACATCTAACAACAAATTAATTTAGTCTGACAGAAAATTTTTTCATAGTTGGGAATTCAATTAAGCGAAATTTTACTTTAAAAAATTTGGGAATGAGACATAATTTCGTTTCTTTTAATTGTTTTCTCGCCTTTTTCTGTTTTTGGAAAACAAATTGTGAAGGATTTCATTTCCAAACAACTAATTTTTTGGAAATACGATGCAATAAGTGACAACAATGTTTGCCATCAAGGTCATGGGGCCTACGGGAGATGAAGGTTGGCGATTAGTGATGTCATTATGACATCATCGAGAAGTGCGATACTGAGAGAGTCATGTTATATATTTGTGTAATATTTTGTGTAAAATATTATCGAGTTAAAAAATATACTGAACTGAACAATATTTAAGAAACTCTGTGTAGATTGTTGAGAGTTGTATCATTAAATATTTAGATTCAATTTCCTTAAGGCCAAGTTGAACGCACAAGCAGGATCAGTGACGTCAGAGGAAGTGCAGTGGTGTAGTCTACTATCACGGTGTTGGGCAGAAGATTTGTTCTCTTGAGGCGAAGTGTCTATGCAAATTAAAGTTGTTTATGGTAAATAATCATGTAATATATTTGTGAATGAAATAAGGTGAAATTGTGCTAACATTTTCGGATGTGTTTGCGTGCGATCATTGCAGGAGACACTACATAATGTTGACATTGATAACAGGAATTTACTTGGATCTTCTCATAGAGAATGTGAAAAGGCGGTAGAGGTCAAGTTGTAGAAATGAATTATGTCTACAAGATTTTGCTGTTTGTTGATGAATTGAAGTAAAATACATTGCCAGTTTCTTGAAATAATGAATGTTATTATTGAAGAAGGTTGTCTCTGTAGATAATTTTATTGTTTATACCATGTTTATATATTGAAAACTAGTAAAAATATTATTAAAACCATATGCACTTTCTGCAGTAATATCTTAATCCCTTTTTTAATGTTTAATATACTTTTCTGTGGTCTAATTCTTGTTATTATTCTTTGCAGTTGTGGGGTGCATATGGTTGCAGCACAGGTGCAGAATCTCCTGTTGTAAACTCCACAGTTGTTTGTTGAAAGCTGTTTGTGACAGGTATGTAAAGAAGTAAATATTCTGTTATTAAATAAATTGAGATAAACATTGTTTTTATTTTGGTAATACAACATAAATTATTAAATTTTATGGTTTTAATATTGTGCGATAGAAGAAAGTAATGAAATTTAAAATCATTCATGAGAATAGGAGATGACTTACATCTTTATTAGAAATAGTTGAGTTTTTACATGAAAATAATTATATTATTGATAGCAAATTACAATACTAGATGAGTTGTTATAGTCTAATTGTTAATTTGTTTATTCACAGGATTCACAGAAGAGGACATTCATTTTCCTGAATTATGTGAACAATGTCTGCATTGGTGAGTTATGATTTTGAAGTTAAAAACAATGTAAATGGAATTTTGTATTTACAAATTGCAAATGCAGCAGTTGAATGCTTTGCATTCACAAACTATATTAGCAAAATGCTTTGACAGAAGAAGATTGCTACTTCTACAAGTTTGGAAAGGAATTACATTAAGATTTCTCTTCAATGAATGTTGATTTCTTTAATCTAGTGGGTTTGTGTGCAGAGATTTGTTGATGTAAGATATTAATTTAAGTAACGAATAACACTTAAAACAGAAATAATAATAATAATAATTTCATTCTTCAAAAGAGAAATTAATTTCAAGAAGAAGAGTGTATCGAGTGATATGTAAGGGAGATGTGTTGCTCTGTAAAAGTGTATTGTTGTTATGACATTATTTGTTTCGCTCTGGTGAATGTAATTCAAGTCACAAATGAAATTTGAAAGTTCTTTTATGTTAAAATGATTGGAAGATGGTTAATTGTCTCTTTTGACTGCCTTGTGAACATTCTTTACACCTTATCTGGTCAGTGGCATTTGAGCCGAAGAGTATGTGTGAATGAATGAAATTTTGTGATTTCTATTATTTTATTTTGAAATGTTTTTGAAGAATTTATTGTAAAAGCACATATGTATAAATGAGCTACATATATATGTTGAGATATTTGCTTAAAAGGAGTTTTTATTGTACTCGTTTAGTGCAATGTTATACTACACAGCCAGCTTTTGTGTATTTTTAATGTCTGTCCATGTGTGTTGCTAGAACATTCAGTGCAGGGTGCTATATTTGTGTGATGGCATTAGAAAGGACCTGGGTATGGAATGGGCTATGAATGTCTCGTACAACAATCCACATAAAATATTTTTATTTGTTTATGGTTATATATATATAAATTATTTATGATAGGTACAGTTTTTGCTTAAATATTTTATGAGTTATAAAAATCACAATCAAAATACAATTTGCGTAGTTTTTGCAAATTACAAAACAAATATGAGAAAATGTGTTACAATTTCCTCAAGCTCAAGGTACGTGTGAGGTATGAAGATTTTACAGAGTTGAAATGTATCTTACACTTGACATACATTCGAAACCTGAAAATATTGACTGTAATATAGTTAGACAAATCTGAGAAGTACAGGAGATAGATTATAATGTGAGTACAGAATTTTTCTCAATGCCAGAAAAGTGCTGATAGGGCATGCCGAGTGTTGTGTTGCCTCTTCTGTTTACTTATTGCAATAATTATATTCCCTAACTAGGTGTGTTTATTTTAAAGTTTTTATTATTTTTCCATTGAAAGATATGCTGTTTGTTTCATTGAAATATTTGAAATGAATTTACATTTATAATTGATAGGTCATTTTGTTATTTTGTGTTTGCCACACTCATTTTTTACTCTATTGGTCACATTAAAATGGTAGTTGTGAGTAATATAATATTTTTCATCAATTTGCAAAAGGATCCACAGTGCAGGCTGGTCTTAATTAGGCTTCCTTGTCAGTTGTGATACAATTTTCGGCTTTTGTATTCAGGTGGATGTTGGGAAATGCTTTGAGCTGAATGAGGCCCTCACATGAAGATTATTACTCAATATTTGTGCTGTGCGTTTCTACTTCCAGATACTGGGTATGTGTACTCAGTGTTGTCTTATTAAATAAGAGGTTCTTCTTGTGACAGGGCAGCTGATGCCTCTATATTCACGATCGTTGCCAGATTTTGCATCACATTCTGTACATATATGAATATTAATGTTGACATATTTCATTTCCTTGCCTGATGCATGACAATCGGAGCTTGCATTACCGATTTTATACAGATTACCATTTTCTTAGCCTCAACCCTTTGTCTGACAAACTCTGTGCATAGAGATTAGCAAACATTTTGCTTTGTGTTAGATGGACCACAACAATACAGTATCATGACATACAACATCCAGAAGGTAGATAGAACAAACATTTGATATACTTTATACCTTCACACACAGTTTGGAGAGACAACATTTAGTTTTGTGTAGGAGTACTCACAGCCAGGATCTGTCTGCGCTAGACTGAGTTTTTAGTTGGTCCGCGTCTGTTCCTGCGTTCCCCTCGTTTTCTTCTCCTTCGTCCTCGTCATCCTCCTTGCGTTTCCTCTCCAGCTCCTCCCTCTCGGCCCTTCGCTTCTTCTCGCGCTCGTCGCGTTCCTTGTCCTTCTTCTTGCGGTCCTCGTCTCGGATGATGACGAGTTTCTTCTGGAAGGACATGGGCATCCCCATGGCGGCGGCGGCGGTGGTGGTGGCCGGGGTCGGGGTGTGTGGGCCTGGGCCTGCTGAGCGACGCGCTGGCGCGGGCGGTCTGTCGGCGTCGGCGTTCCTCCCCGGCCCGCGCCGAGCTGCGTCGGTGCGGTGGCGGCGGCGGCGGCGCCTGGTCCAGCGCGGGAGGCAGCCTCCGTCGGGGAGGGGAAGCGAGCGGGTGCGTGGCTCGGCGTGGGCATTCTCGCCCCCGCGGTCCCCTCCCTCGCCAGGGCGCTTCCTCCCCGCTGCTCTCTCGCCCCTCCTCCCCCGCCCCCGCGATTCTCTTCAGTCCCCGCCGCTGCCGCCAGGTATCGATCCCGTCCTCCCTCCCGCGGCCTCGCCGCGCCTCGCCGCCCGACCCCGAAGTGCTCGCATCGCGCCGCCCTCGACCCCGCGCCCGGTGACCCAGTGGGCCGCGCACGGGGCCGGGTAATAGGGCTGGCGTCTGGCAATGGCCATGCTCGCAAAGAGGGATATGCGTTTCAAAAAATGGTATTTTTTTTCAGTTAGTTACGTGGAGAAATATCTTTACGGAATGGTAATATTTAAAATATGGAGAAACTTAACGTGTGTACAAGCGTCGTCTTCGACAGCAAAATAAACGACTCCGCTCGTAATAAAAATGTGTTCCTGCATTATGCCATTTATTGCAATTAGTCACTTCCCTTGTGCACCGACGATACGCGATCGGCCCCCTATATTTACGATTTGCTCTCGGCGGAATTTGGGATGGACTGCCCGGGCTCGGGTGTTTGTCCTCGTCTGCGGGGGCGTCCACCTCTCGTTTAACACCGCCGCATGTCGTTTGTCTATGCATTCTGTTACACGGCTCATTAGTTTATTGCTCGACGATGAACTCGGTGTTATCTTTTCTCGATGAATGTTTCTGGCGCTGAATGAAACTTTCCTGTCAATGAAAACCTTATAAGGCTCATTTTCATACGCGATACGGTAGCCAGAGACAGCATTTCGAAACGACTGAAAAATTATACTTTCATTAACTTCTTGACAACTGTTGGATGTGATTTTGGAATCAATTTAATAATGGCCGTGTCGTATCACAAACCTAACTGGGAAATTAATTATTTCATTTCATTGGCAGTTCTCAATTAGCGTCGACTGATATTGTCTTTTGACCAGCGCAGCCTTTTGATACATTTCTACTGCTTCATAATAAATGGGAGGTGATATGTATTTGAGTGGATATGACTTCCCCGCGTTTCATTTGAATTCCTAGAAGTTTGTTGGATCCACTTCATTCAGATGTGATGTTTCTTAAATGTCTGAAGGGGAAAGAAGAAATTGAATTCCAAAGTATTTGGACATAACGAAACTTGAAGAGCTTGTACCGGTTTCATAAGGAATGTCAGAGAGAAATAAAATTTGAATTCTCGAGGTTGGTATTACTTGAATCAAGGTTTCTCTGTATTTGCAAATATTTTAATATAAATGAAGTTAATATGGTTGACAATTCTTAAGTTTCACATTTATTTATGGTGCATTCTTTATTCACATTTGCAGTTTGCAAATTTAAACAGATTTTTTGTTTAAATTTATTTCCGAGTTCGCGAATATTTTGAACATTAGCTGCTTCGGTAACAAACTAAGTGACTTGTTTTCAGTGACTTCGACTTATATTACTTGAAGTTAGGAACGTGTGATCAGTTGAATATTCTGCATTTCGTCAGCTTCGTATGTTTTCGCTTGAAGGAAAGACCTTCGAATTAATTTATGTAACTTCACAAACAGTAACAGTAAAACTATGTATTTCAGCACCGGGAGTAAAGGCGTTAATGCAAAAGAGAGCACATTCCTGATTTAAAATGTATCTTTGTTGCTGACGTTTTAAAAAGGTTATTAATGTATTCTCTTGGTATCACTAGTGAGATATCTGCTCAAAACGATAGCGACGCTGTTCTGTCCCTGAAGGACGACTAAAGAAATAAACGAATGTAGATTTTGCTAATGATGATTTGTCTTACCAGTAATCACTTGTTTGACTCTCTATTCGTTGGATGGAAAAAGTTTTGGGGTCCCTCATGCCGTAAATTTTATCTTGTCCATCAGTCTGTGGACCACACCGCGCTTCAACCAATCATATTTTTTTTTCTTTCTAGAATTGATATTTTTTGATGAGCCTGGCCGCATTTGATGCCATGCGAATTTGAAACGCATCACGTAATTTTTGGGGATACTTTTCGTGTGTCTTCTGTGACATCATGCATGCCAAAAACGGCCTACTCATTTTTTTTGCTTGAATAGCGTATGCATAAAAAAAGGCTCAGGAATGATTTTCATAAATTCTTCTAATTTTCTCCAAAAGTAAACCTAAAATTGACATGTACAACCTTTTTTTGGAGAGAGTTATGTATTATTGAGTGGAATTCTGACAAATAAAAAACACAGTAGTGCTACAGAATGGCACCGACTTTCTCGTACTAGTTAGTTTCCCTATCAAAACCGAAGAAGAAATTAATACTTTCTAAAAAAAAGCAATTTTACATTCTTAATAATATAAATTTATGTGGCGAAGGATAAATACAGGAAAATATGTAATAAAATATTAAATGACATTGTTAAATTTGGGCCTGTGTCATTATTGAAGCAGAAATGAGTGTTCAAATGAAAATTTAATCTAATGTTTGTTTTAAAACGTGTTCATTGTGTACTTCAATGGTAGATAAGAGGGTTTATCGATATGTGAAATACCAAGTTCTTTTGATTGATGGACGCATAATGCTTGCAATTTATTTTCCCAAACAATTAATGAACTATAGCTAAGAAATAAAGGAGCTGAATTTTTCGGCTAGTGAGATGATGTGTATGTACGTAAAACGCAATAGACACCGAGAAATTGCGTTCCTTGTTTGCCATGATGTATGTTAGTTTCCATGTTCCTAAACGTCTCTAGTTTTCCGTTGAAATCGATGAGCGTAAGAAACGATATTCATCAGATACTGAAATTGAAAATCCAGACCTATGCGCTTGACTTTAACGAAGGAAGGGAACTTAATGCTGAAACAGACGTATTCGGTTTCCGGAAATGCTTGGGATGCATCCAAGCTTTCGCACAAATGAGCATCAACGATTGCACCAGCGAGCCCCCGCACACTACGGTCCGTCCACGAATGCGAAACGATCAATGCTGTAGGTACATTACGTGGTCGACGGGTGATGGCTGTTGCTGCCAATGTGCTTGAATATGACCTGCTTATGATCCTGAACTATTTGTTTACACTCATTTGTTGTGGTTACGAGTTGAGATTTACGATAGAAACTAAGGCATGTTAGGTATGCTCTTGAAACATTGAAGAATGAAGCATTTTCATGGGTACGTTTTTAAAGAACACATTTCCGTGGAATTGTATTGTTATTTTCAATTGCATAACTTGTGAATCTGTCCATTACCGATTTCTTGAAACTGTGTCATTCATGTTAGCACTGCTGGTGTATTTGTCCCGCTTCGATTTCAAGATTCCTTATTGTTGACGCAAAACTGCTTTCAATTTTGACTACGTCTACTTTGTCAAGAAACTAATGAGGAGCTCGTGATTGACTTTCAAGATAGTGATGGTTGCCGATTGTCAGCAAAAATTAAAGCTATTTGATTTCTCCCTCACGAAACTAAATGAAAGGACGGACTATATCATTACTCTTTGCAAATGACGCGATGACACTTTATTTTGTTCATTGTAATCAAGGGGGAATCGTTACAAGTCGTTCGTATTGATACCGACAGTGGATAATGTTTTATTGGAGGCATGTGGGAGAGACATAAACGGGTCCGTTCTTGCGGAACTCCATATAGTCTCCGGATTGGCCTTGTGACGAATAAGGTAAAGTCGGAGAACTTGCTCGCCGACTTTTCCGTTCTAAGTCGCGCGCGTCGTTTTCTTCGGGGCTTAATTTCCGCCGTTACTAGTAGCAGAGTTATATCTTCGTTCGATTGTTTTGCATGGGCTTTTTCACATTTCCATCTTCGAAGTGACATGCGTGATCTAATTGCTGTTGTCCGAACAATATGTATGGAAAAATACTCGTTTCCGTTTGAGTCGACCGGGGCATTAGACACGAGATAAAAATTTTGAAGTTTCTATCGTATTCTTTCTCGCGATGAGAAGTACTCCCGCTGCTAATAGAAGGAAACTGTTATCCATTTACAGTGTTCCATGAGCTTCGAGAAGCTTAAACGGAGCTCTAATTCAGTGACTGGTTTATGTGGGGTTAGTTCGTTTCTCTAAGGCTGTCGACCTTGGAAGCCCCATCGCGAAAAAAACACAGTTACATATCGATTGAACTACTCCTTTTGCCATCTTCCTATCTTCGAACTTCCGATATTTTCTCTCTCTTTTCACCCCAGTCGTTTACATCTCACCCCCCATTCCTTCACAATACCCATAACCGCCCCATTCCCTTTTCCTTCGCCGTTCCCAAACCGGCCGTCTCCGCCCTGTCCCGGTTCGCGACCCCTCTCCGTTCGCGGACCATCTTAGGTTTCTGTCCCCTTTCCCTTCTCAGCCCAGCTCCTTATCTAATCTCCGCCCCCTTAACCGGCCGATCTCTGTCTCCGTTCCCGGTATTGATTGCGACTCCGTTCTCGTCCCCGTCTTCGTCCCGTCTCTTCTCGTTCCGTTTCGTCTAATGCTCCCGGGGTCCTGTCCGTGCGCCGTCTAATGCTCCCCACCACGCGCGATCTGTAGCCGCGCTGCGGGCCTTTGGAAACATCTGCTCTGCGATATTGATGCTTCCTGTGCCGCACCGCGTGCACCTTCTCTTCCGCAATTACCCTTTCCACAGGGCTTCCTCTCGCCCTAGTGACTTCTCCAGTACCAGCGCCAATGCCGCCTGCGCCCTCGCCCCCGCGCAACTCCCACGCTTCGGGGGCGGGCCGAGCCGCGCCGGGCCGGGCCGGGCTCTGTCTCATCGCTCATGTGGCGAAGCTTCGTGCCGCTCGCGTGTTCGCCGCGCCCCCTCTTGCCTGCTTCCGCCCATCCCCCATCCCCATCCCTCCGTCGTCCTCTCCTTCGCCTGCCCCTCGCGCGGAGGTGGGTTGGGAGTGCGGGGCTTTTCGCCGAGAGGCAGTGTGTGCTGGAGTAATGCGTCCGTAATTTCCCGTATCCTCGTTCGAATGTACAGATTTAAAGGACAACGAAAGACTCTTGAAAGATCTTTTAATGTACTGTCAATGCAAACGAAACAGCGCTAGGGCATGAAAATAATGTTTGGGAATGTAGCAAATAAAAAAAATGGATCTCTAGAAACGGTCTAAATAGGTGAATTTATTGTATGTACGTCCTAACTCGTCTAGATTAACTGTGAAAATGAAAATTGTAATAAAGGCATATGTTTCATTGACAGTTGCCAGTTAATAATCCGATGCTTATATATTCTAATAGAGATTGCGTTGATTTCCTTCAAAGTTCCTGTGA